TGATCTATCCCCTAACCTAGTTTTTTAGATCTTCCAACAGACATGCAATATTGCTGTAATTGAGTCCATCCACCTTGCTAGTTGTCCTCTTCTGCTCTTTTCTTTCACCTTTCGGTATGGACTTCTTGAGAGAGCTAGTTCTTTGTGTGATGTGTCTGAAGTATAGTAATTGAGTCTGGTCATCTGTACCTTGAGTGAGAACCCTGATTGATTTGTTCAATTATTGTTTTCTTAGCTATCCATGACCTTCTCAGAAGTCTTCTGTAGCACTACAGTCCAAAAGCATCAAGACTCTTTCTATTCCGTTTCTTAAAAATCTACTTTCACTTCCATAGCCAAGATGGCACAGTGGTTAGAGTGCAGCACTGCAGGCTACTTCAGCTGACTGCTAGCGGCAGTTTGGCAGTTCAAATCTCACCAGGCTCAAGGTTGACTCAGCCTTCCATCCCTCCGAGGTGGGTAAAATGAGGACCCAGATTGTTGGGGGCAATCGGCTGACTCTGTAAACCAGAGGGCTGTAAAAGCACTATGAAGCGGTATATAAGTCTAAGTGCTATTGCTATACTCTCTCACAAGAAAACCGTTGCCTGGATATTTGATAAAATACCCTGACCTATTAACAAACCATTTAAGTGTGGGCTGGATGGCATAATAATAAAATGGACAAATATGCGGTTTAATGTTTATTCAAAGGGTACTCATTAATGGAGAGCTATATATCAACTGGGATATCACAGCATTAATTTCTGGGACTGTAAAAAAACATTTTCCCTAGCTTAGAGAAAAGAGCTGAAAATCTTAATGTCATGGTTCCGAGTAATGCTCCCAACCAATTCAAGACTCTGAGGCCTTAGCTTCCTCAAAAATCCTGTTTATTGGGTACATCATATCGGCACAGTCAAAGGTGATGCTTTAATTTGACTATCTGCAGTGAAATTGATCTCCGAAGCTCCATTTTCAGCTGTGACGGCCTCCTGCAACCCTCTGTCAGTGAAAACAAAGTGGCCCTCCCAAGCTCCATTTTCGCTGGCAGAGGCACCACAGGCTAGTCCTTTGCTGTTTACAGGGTGGCCCTGTGGGCCAGATCTAAGCACCCCATGGGCTGGTTCCGGCCCCCAGGCCTTGAGTTTGACACCCCTGACCTAATAGAACCTTCTAACACAAAGAGTCTTAATTGCAAGTCTCCCAGAGTTGCCCTGCGGGCAGCAAATAAATGTAATAAATAAATAAATAAGCCTGTTATTTAATTTTATTATTAATTTAATAAATAAATAAATAACCCTCAATAATAACTCTCAGTCAATGACATATCTAAACTTTATACATAATCGACTTTCTGCATTCCTCTGCCTTTTTCATTTCTGCAAGGCAGTAAAAATAGTACACTCTCATTTTGTTATATTAGATACCATAAATTACAAATGATCATTACATAATATACACCCCATTTTATAGTTTTCCATGAAGAATTTGAAGCAACTTTTCTAAGTGGCTAATATTTTCTAAGCATTGCCATATAGGTGCTATGCAATCCTTGTATATTTTAATGAAATATAAAATTAGGTATCTGTAATTAAGGTAATATTTCACTTAAATATTCTGGCTTTAACACAATATTTTAGAACAATAGCTTCCTCCACCCTATTCTTTGAAAATACAAGAATTGTTTGTACCATTGTATCCAAAATTGTACCCACATACAAGAATGATAAAATAATATTACAGCTATTGCTTATTTAGACTAACAAAAATTTTTAAACTGAAATAAATAATGTAATCCTGTAGTCCCTAAAAGGGTATATCAAAAGGTCTTGAATACTATGGGTGTGTCCTTTAATGGACAAAGAAAACAAATCTCTGAGTGGAACAAGAGGCCACTCCAGAGGAGCTACCCCAAAATGGGATCAGCTGGGACATATAGGAATGACTAAAGATTTGCAAATTCAAGACCCCTCATACTTCTGTCATACCTCCAGATGAGAATTAGGCAGTGTCAGATATGATAGTATAACTTCCTTTTGTTGAAAGAAAACAGAAATGGACCCCACCTTCCCAACACGATTCAGCAGGACTTAGGGGAAAAAAAACCTATTTTCATTTGAACTGAAAACTACAGAGGTTTTCTGGGAGGAATCAGGAAATAGGTGTCATCAAGACAGAAAAGGGTTGTGCATGGGGGAAGAAATCACATTACACTTCATCCATTTTTCCCTGTAAATTGATTCTTTACTTCTTCTACCACTCATATTATTCAGATGTAAATCCACTAACTTTAACTAAGAGTTGAAGGGAGGGGACTAAAAAATGCAAAAAAGGCCTTGGTGCCTTGCATAGATCATGTATGTGTATATTATATCCTAGGGAATGATAATTCTATGCCACAATATTTACATCATGACAGTCTTAGAGGAGACCTCCCTATATTCATTGCTTATGTCTCTAAAGCTTAAAAATCTTGAAGTAAAGATCCTGTGGCCCCTATGCCACATGTGGCCTCCTAGCACCCTAATTCTAGTTCTCAAGAACAATAACAACCCTCCTCCCTCCAAAAAAACCCAAGGAATTATTCAGATATTTTTTTGCATTGGGAAGTGTTGGAGAACAACTGTCCCAGTTGGGAGAAGGGGTCAAACAGGGAATTAGTCTGTAATCATTATATAAGCACAAGAGGGCAAGGTCTAAGATACACACATCCTCCACCAAATGTTGTTGTACTTTATCTAGCTTTTCCCAGGGACAAGTTGTCAGTCTGGAAAGATTCCTGTGAATAGGGCATAAGACAATAAAGTAGCTAGTTTCAACTCTACATGTGGATCTGGTTGTTCAAGCCTTGGAAGGTAGTTGGTGCTTGGAAGGTAGTTTAAAAGGACTTATGACACCCCTTGAGCTCCCTAAATATGGACACCTCCCAAAACTTCTTTTTCCCACTTGTAAGGATTTAGAGGCAAATTAACCTGACCAATATTACTGTTGCACCAGTCTCTGTTTTAGGGGATTGACATTAAGTAATTTTATAAAAAGTTTGGTTATACCACAATTGCCATTAACCAGGGCAGGCAAACCAAAAATAAATTGCTCACTCTGATCTAAAAAAAATGGCAAACAGATACAAATATCAATGGAACTGGAATGTGTTTTAAAAAGACGAGACAAATGGTTCAGTCCTAAAATTTGTTGCCTCAGCGGTGACACATCATAGAACTGTTGTAATATTGCAATATTGTATGTGGTGTTTTATCTATACTTGCCACCTTTTTTCCATTACCTTTATCCAAACCAATTATGGAGAAGACTACAGGAGACTTAAAAAAAAAGAACTTTCCACAATCACAGCATTGAATGCTTTCTTTGTGACTTCATGCCCCCTTTATGTCCTTTTCTGTTTAGCTCTTTTGGGGCATTTTAAGGACATGTATAATCCAAGCAACATTAAGTGCTTTAAAGGTGAAGTTAGATGTCAGTCTGGTGAAACTAAACTCAGTGCAAATGGGTACGTGTTCCAAGTATGTGTTCAAATCCACAAAGTCAGTACAATGCTTTGCAGAACAAACTGAATCATAAATGAGGTCTTCTATATTTTAGCCAGGCATATTTCTTGCTGTTTGTGGTCATGCAGACTTGAGCAACTAGATGATTGGAATAAATAGTGTTTACATTTACTGATTAGCATGTAAGAATCTCCAGGTTATTAGGTATATTTGATGGCAAGAACCGAACCCAAAATATTTGTAGGCAAATTGTATATCATGAGACTAGAAATAGTCTGCTCCAATTTTCTAATATTTCAGCAATTTGTATCTATTGGGGACTGATTATACTGGATTCATCTTTTTTTTTTTAATTTGATTTATATGCCGCCCTTCTCCGGAGACTCAGGGCGGCTTACAATGCGTTAAGCAATAGCCTTCATACTTTTGTATATTTATACAAAGTCAGCATATTGCCCCCACAAACTGAGTCCTCAATTTACCTACCTTAGAAAGGATGGAAGGCTGAGTCAACCTTGACCCTGGGGAGATTCGAACTAGCAGTAATTGCAGGCAGCTGAATGATAATAAGAGGCTATTAGTCTGCTGCGCCACCGGGCTCTTTCAGGGCCTTGCCCTGTCTACTCCCAAATCTACTCCATTTAGTAGATTCCTCTGAAGCAAAGTTGAGGGCAACTAAAGGAAAATCCACTTGCGCAGCCAGAACTCTGTTGGACGCAGTCCAATGAAAAGCAGAACTTCTCTTCTGACCAACTGTTTTAAATACTTAATGTTGTTTGGCCTCTCATATGACTTATTTCATCATTAAACTATTAAAAACCAAGCCAGGGTAATATTACAGTCCATTATTGTTGACTGGTGGGAGAGGTTAGTCAGCCTGGGTCTGAGTAGTTGGCATAATCGAGCAGGACCTTGCCATGAGGAGGGGGGGAAAAAGCAGAGCAGCATTCTTGACATAAGACAGCCAAATAAAGATACTCGTTGGCACATATTTGGAGGAAAAATTATTTTTTTTCTCTCACAGTGTTGTTGAAAAAAATAACTTGATCCTATATTTAATAGCATATCTGAATTTTTTGTTACTGATGCATGTTGGAACACGTTAGAAGTACTGTAAATTGCAGCTTTGTAGGAATTGTCCCATTGGCTTTAGGCAGAGTGATTCATCCAGTAATTGTAAACAACTTTGGGTACTTCTTATACTTGGCATATTTTTAGAAATGGAGCATTAGGTTTTCGTTCCATGATGCATGATCCAATGCCTCTATGTGGCGCCTGGACAAGTGGCCACGGCTGCATATTTAATTGGGACAATCATTGTTTCCCAGTTTTTGCAAATTTATGCAAGTGGCAAGAGGCATGTGTCCCTTTCAGTGGCCTCCTCTGTAAAATAGGGGGGGAGGATGTTTGAAAACTATTGTGTTGCACATATTTTGAGCTATATAGGTAATTTTGTATGGGTACAATGATATTAGCCAACCGCTTGTTTTTCTTCTTTTATTTTAACCCCAGCATTAATGTATGCAAGCATTTTTGGAAACGTATCCGCAATAATCCAAAGACTATATTCTGGAACGGCACGGTATCACATGCAGATGCTACGTGTAAAAGAGTTCATTCGCTTTCATCAGATTCCCAACCCATTGAGGCAGAGGCTCGAAGAATATTTTCAGCATGCGTGGACATACACTAATGGCATCGACATGAACATGGTATGTACGTTTGCTTTTAGCAACAATTGCACACAAACATGTACAAACCCAAATAGAAAAGAAAGAAAATCAAGCTTGATGGTAGTAGAAGGCTTTATTTCCAACCCTAACCACACTTAACTCTCTGTTAGTTATTGTTTTCTGTGGTTTTATGTTTTCTTAGCCCTTGGCCCTGAATTATATTGGGAGATGGGCAGCCGTATACATTGTTTTAATAAATAAATATCAAGACGCTGTAGCATAATACTTTGGAAAACAGCCAGTTTTGACTGGAAGAAGTAACCTGTAGATCTTTCAATTATGTATACAAAATCTCTTTGAAAAAAAATTGCATAAGCAATTATTCTAGAATTGCTTAAAAATCAAGCCTTGCTCCATAAAATGATAATTGCAGGTTTTTTTGCTGAAAGTAACATAAATTCATACATAGTTAGTGCCAAAATATATTCCATGGATGATGGAAATACCATTCTACATGCCTTGAGGAAGATGCTTAAAGATCAAATTATACCATATAATTTGTAATTACATATGTCCTTTTCTTTTTCTCAATGGAAAGCCAACTCAAAAGCAGCAATTGAAAGAAGAATCCCAAAGTGAGGAGATAATCCTTCCTTTTTGCTCATTCCAGGTTATAATACGCACTTAGCTGTTTTTCCAGAGTAGCCGTTAGGGGTGTCTACATAACACAAAAATATGCACGTGCAATATTTTTAATTTAAAAAAAAAAACAGACAGTAAAATATCTATCATGCTCCAATGTTCTTCTGCTTTTAACTGTCACATCCAAAGGTGCATTTCAGTAAAATCAAGTATTTCTACAGAGGAGAGGAGTATACATATTTATAAAATATGCAGTATAATCCTAAATTAACCTGCTTTAAATCTGATCCAAACACCACCGATACTAAAGGACTTTGTTGAGGTAAAATCGATCCGTCTGGTCAAGATTTGGATCCAACAAAGTATAAAATAGTTACCAGTAAAGAATAATATTTGTAGCTCGGGGTTGAAATGAGGGGTCCTTGGTACCCTCTGAGCTTGGTAGTCCAGCACTGGTGATGTTACCTAGTTTGGATAATGAAATGTCTGCAAGGAAACAACCAAGCTCAGGGAGCACCAAGGACCCTGTCAGAGTTTGTTGCAGCACACACAATCAGTCACAATTAAATAATTCTGCAGGATTCAACTACATAAGAAACTGTCTTTATATACAATACCATTGTAGGTTTTTCCACATTGTAGAGAAGAGAAATAGCAAGTACAAACACAGCACAAAATGGAGAAGGCAAAATGGAGGAGAGAGAAGCTAGTGCCCTCAAGCTTATATACAGAACAGTTAAGCCACACCCAGGCTCCAAACTGTCTCTTACGGCCCCATACAACAAACACTATGTTTCAGTTACTAAACAGCCCTCATTGGCTGACCTGTTGCTATGCCCTATTCCAGTTCATGAATATACTCTGACAGACCCCTGATAAAATAATTGCATTCTAGTTTAAATAAAAAGCAAATTAACAGATTAACAAAATTGGAAGGAACCTTGTAGGTCATCTAGTCCATGGGTAAATGAATGGATGAGGGAAGCCATGCCCATTTTTTTTCTCAAAATGGAGCCATTCGTTAATTTTTTAAAAACAACCATCCATTTCTGAAATTGAAGCAGGTCTCCAAAGCTGTTTGCTGTACAGCACATGAGACTTCCAAACCCCATCAGGCAAACCTACCTAAATTCTTGGGTGTGTTGAAAATCACCTTTTAAACTACAATTAATGCATTGATATTGATATAAAGCAATGGCTCAAATGTGTTTTAATGGCCCTGTTCTCACAGTCGATCTAATCATCTACGACTCTAATCAGTGCCACCGTTTTCCATCATTGTGGGAATGCACTGTAGGCTCACAGTTCACTTTCTTCAAGAAAAACCTAATATCCCACGAGGCCTTCCACGTAAGACTACAGTACTGACTCCTGCCTTTGAAGCTATAAATGCTGCAACGAAAATCGGTTTAAACATGGAAGATATTGAAGTTGTATGTTATCATGAGCCATAAACAGAAATAGCTTCATGGAACTGTGCAGAGTTTCATAACTGATTCCAAAAGGTTCTTTAGAAGGCCCAGGAGCATACAGCTGAATAGTACAAGGTGTAAGATTTGGTGTATCGAAAAGCAATCTTAAATGGCTTCTTATCTCATATTCATCAGTATACTGGGTGGGATGTCAGTTAACCACTCTACTTGCTGTTGCATGTACGTGAACAGGTATGAGATTCCTGCTTCAAATCCAAATGCAGCAGTAAACATAATTCAGCAGCATTTTGTAATTTGGTACTTCTTATGCTCATAAAATTCCATATATTTAGGAAAATAACCAAATGACTTTTAATGCAAGGTTGTTGTTCCAATTGTTTTTTATATGTTGTACTTATGAAAGATTTATCTTTTTCTTGTCTGCTTCATACCTTAATACATGGAATAACACCACTCACTGGTAAGAGCAGGAGGTATTTATATATCCAATTTAATTCCAGTGTAAAATTGAATATCCCATGTTAACTGTTGAGATTAAATTTTATTTTAATGATTTCTCTTTCAAATAGCTTTTTTTTTTTCTTATTAAGCAATGTGATTGATAAATTGAAGGGCAAAATCAGGTTTGGGCAACCAAAAACCAAAAAAACCCCAACAACCTGAAATCTAAATTGAAAAATATTTTGAAAGTGCCATATTCATGGTCTATGGTTTAGCCCCACAATTCCGAATAAAGCCATCATGCCTATCACTCTATGCTTTTGGTTGTGTTAGTGTTTTTTCACTCTCACTTATGTGCATGTTAGTAGCAAACATTTAAAAAAAATATTTCTCTTAGATCCATTTGCAGATGAGTTGAACTCACATGTTCTTTTAATCATTTGAGCATGCATGGTAATTGATCATGAAGAATCTGTCACCTGTCATCAGTAGCAATTAGCAGACTTTCTGAGATTCAAAGGGGATCGCCCAAGATATTTGTAGCCAGGATGAATTATGAAAACTGAGTCTAGTCTAGTCTAAAGAAAGATTAGTTCCTGCTGTGAAAAGTTAATGCATGCTTTGTGTAATTATATTCACTGTTAATATTATGAAGGGTTATTTAAAATGCTTTTTAAAGTGTTAATGTTATTACATTGGAATAAAAAAAAATTAAAAATGAATAAAATACTGGATTAGGTGCAACAGGTTTATGAAAATAAAGCTTTGCGACATATTTATTGTAAATAGAGAAGTTAATACTTTTTCCTTACTTTATTCCAAATGACTGATCGATCCAAAGAATGGTATCTTCGAACTGAGATAGGCTGAGAATATAATTCATTTTTTTAAACACTTTTTTATTTTACTTCATCTCTCCTTTTCTTTTGTTATATATCTCAATGTAGACGACACTTTTCAAAGTTTGTGCTACTAATAACATGATGTGTGTTATGTTTGGACGAACAGGATTTGGGATTTACTTTAATCACAGTCCAAATTCTGAAAAAGAACAGATTTGTAGGTTTTCATTTGGAGGACCATTAGTGAGTAGATGACCTACCAGATGACCAATGGAAAACAAGTGTCCTCATCTTCAAAATGAAGAGAGAATGTAGGGAACTAGAGTTAGTCAGTCTACCACAATTTCTGGAAAACTCTAGAACAGATCATAGAAAACAAGGCAAACTTATTAAAAATCACCACATAAAATTTTATCAAGGAAAAGCCTTGGCAGACTGGCCTTATTTAACCGGCCGTGGGAATACTGTATACATACCTTGATTTCACCAAAACATTTGATAAAGTATCCCACAATATTATCATTAACAAGCTATTTAATCATGACTTGAATGGCATGCCAATTAAAGTGAATAAATGGCTGGCATAAAAGTCATTCTTAATAGGTTCTCATCAGAGATTTCTCATAAAAATAAAGTGAGATATTTAATGAGATGCATTTTTTTTGAATCTCACATTTGGCACTATTCAGTATTTTAATGAAAAATGCTTCTCAGATGACATAAAATTATCAAGTACTCTGGAAGACAAGTGAAATTTGGAATAGATTAGAGACATGATCTGGGGGGAAAAATAATACAGACAGGTACAAACTAAACAAATAATATATTTGGGAAATAGGAATAAGACACACAAATATAAACTGAGGAATGCCTGTCTGATAACAGCACCTGTAAAATTCATTTTGGAACAGGGATTGACTGCAGACTGAAGGTGAATCAATTGCGTGAAGAACGTAGAACCGTAGAAACAGACTTTCCAAAACACCAGAAGAAATATTTCCACTTTGTTCAACACTGATTAGACCCCACCTATGTATCATATTTTTAAAAAGGATTAAAGAAGAATTCCGACAAACCAGAACAAGTTCTGAGAAGGGCAATGGGCCTGATCAGGAAACTACAAGTTAATTCCTATGAAGAAAGACTGAGGAAACTAAGGGAGGAAATGATAGCATTCTTCAAATACTACAAAAACTATACATTTGGTAATGTACATTTCATTATCAAACTAGATTACATCATCAGTGCCTGATGATGTTAACCTATTTTGATAATGAAAAATCTACAAGGAAATAACCAATCTCAGAGAACACCAAGGATCTCACAATGGGAACTATCCCCCCATACTGATAACTTTCTAGAGGACTTAAAGATCTACCTTCCTCCCAGGCCTTAAGCTAAAGTGGTTGGAGCCTCTGATGAGTACTGTGTTGGCTGGATGCGCCATCTTGCTTTTTATCTGCTGTTACTTATTTAGGTTTGTTTTTTAACTGTTGTATCATTTTTGAATGGCATTGTATTTTATTTTCTTTGTTAAATTGTGAGCTGCATTTGGAGTCAGGTGGGCCTAAATCAAAGAAATGCAAAAAATGTTTGCACGTCTCCTTCTAATTCTCTATCAGTATATCAGATTGAGTTTATTATAATTCCAATTCACTTCGGTTCATTTTGTTTACTTTGC